GTTTCTACTGTAGTTTTTCAAAAAGCACCATAACTGGTCTCCTTCTACATGCTGCACTTACATACTGCCAAAAAAAGGAATGCTATTCCTTTATTAGGTTCTTCTGTAGTCAGTTATGTGCCTGGTGCCCTGTTCAGATGAAAATTAATGAAATAAAATAAAATAAAAGAAAAAAAATATTACACTGGCATTAATATAAACAAATGAACCAAAACAAAATTACATTTTCTGCATGCCAACAATAATCTAATATAATTTATTTATATTTCACAAAGACATCAACATTTCCTGAAAAATCAACAACTTGATACTTATGAGCATATAAATATGATTCACTGTCAAGCAAAAAATATCTAAGACATCAATGAATAATTGCTAAATACAAATCACATACACATATTGACTCCACCAAAACAGAGAACTAATACCTACCCATTTCTGAAAAATCTACATTTTGGCTCAATTTTGCTCCATTATCTAATACTAATTCCATTCATACAAAAAATCTTCCAGTTGTGTCATTTTGAACTTACCTGAATTATAGCCAGAAGATAAAGTCATAATGATACTAGCAATTCCAATAACAAAAGGTGAACTACATCAACGGAGACACAAAACACAAATCAAAAGTGCTACAAATATCATCACTTATGCCTTGAAATTACATACAGTTATTAAAAATCACAGCCATTACTTACAACAATACAAAGAACAGACTAGCCCTCGCAATCCGATATCCTGTCCTACCTCCACGATAATGATCTCCACTAGAACCACTGCTCCCACTATCACGACGAATGTGTAGGTCGCTCACTCCACTGGTTATGCCATCCATGCCCCCTCCAGTATCCCCCACAGAAGCAGCTGTTATATCAAGGGATAATACCTCAAATTATTCTGGGCTACAATTTTCAGATTATACTTAGTGGTGTTTTATATTATTTGCCTAAAAGAGTCATTCATTTTCATGGAATCATATTGATACGAATCTTCTATTTCCAGCTTTTATATATCATTTCTTAATGCTTTTCTAACATTGCAAGCGAATCCACAAACTTTTTATCAAAATTTCTCTATACAAGAAAGACATTATATGAGCTTTCTAAAAATAAATGCTCCTTATCTATTATACCATACCTGACTGGAGCCTCTTGGAGTTAATAAGACTATAGGATATATAATGAGGTGCAAATCCAATTTCATTATGATTCTGTCCCTCATCAACATCACTATCAATCTCTGCAATGCTGGTCGTTCCAAACATACATTGGTTGTATGTTGGTAAGGCTATCAAAAAAAGAAAATAGAAAAAACACATTTAATTTCAGAATTTAACTTTTCCTATTCTTGATAAGGTACAGCCAGCAACAAAAGCAGTGATATCTTCTAAGATCAAGATTGGAAAATTCACTCCCTTCTTGCCTGAAAAATGGCCTAGCTGAAACATTGTGTTTGACTCAACAATGGAAAGTGTAAAATGATAAAATTATTGTTAAATCAATTTTGATTGCAAAACAAAATACTGAATTTACCATAATAATGTTCAATGTTTAATGTTTGAAAATAAATGCGCTAGATATCAAAGGTCATGTAGCATTATGGTAAAGTATTGCATCAGAGAGGGCAAAGAAGAGTTACAGATTACAATAAGATGCGTTAGATGTCAAAGGTTTAAGAGCATTATAGAATAGTATGCTAGTGAAAAGGGGAATAGGGGATCAAGTGAACTAGAGCAGAAATCAGTATAAAGGTGAGGATAGGGTGAATGAGTGAATTATAATGTATCTGTCACTGGGGAAGATGACCCCCCAATCCCTCTGTCACAGAGGGATTGGGGGGTCATCTTTAGGAAGCTTTGGATGTCTTCAAGGGTTTCTGGAGGGGAATTGGGTATAGAGGACTGAGAAACAAAGGTTCTCTTATAAGTAGAGGAAATAGATATCTGAGGAACAGACGAAGAGGGCAACGGGTTGTGGAGCGACAGTGTTTGGCTGGGTGGCCAAAATGGCAACATTTCTAACATTGACAAGGAAGGGGTCGATATTGTCGGACATGATAAGACAAGCCACCAATATAAACCTCATGGGGGAGGTCTTGCCTATGGAAGCGAATCTTGGTAATATTGACGTGAGATTTACGGCGGCCTCTGGGAGGAAGAGCATAACACTGTGCTGCCACAGCATCATATTCACCAAGGCAGGAAAGTAGGTCATTTTCACAGTCTGACCAGTCCTTGTTATACATGGAACAAGCATTTAGGGGAATAGAAACAGTTCCAGTACAAGTATTAAGAATTGGGTGTGGTTCGGCAGGAATGGGTTTGCCAGTATGGTCAGTTAGGGTAGATAGTGCTCGAGCTTGGGCTTCAGAGGAAACCATGACAAGGCGTGAACGATCAGAGCAACTGCGAAAGGTAACCTTGCCTACTTGTTTCTGGAGGCACTGCTGAAAGAGAAGGGTATTCTCAGAATAGAGGGCTGTGGGGGGAATCACGAAGAATCGATCCCATCTGGGTCAAATAGAGTACTTAGAATGTTTGAAGAGGTAGAGGCAGTAAAAGGAAGAGGGCAAAAACAAGATGGGATGGTGTGGAGTGGAGCAGTCCTGCAGGGGTGGGGGGGGACAATAAGGATGAATAGTAGTAATAATGGAAGAGAGGGTTGACATTGAAAAAGGTTGTGCAGCAGGAGATAAAGTTGAGAATGTTGTTGATGAGGGGTTGAGTAATAACCTGGGCGTGGTTTTTATAAGCATAAGAAAAGGGTAGTAACATGAGTGGTCAGAGCCTTGGTCAAAGGAGGGGGAGGGGTCAGAAAACCATCAAAATAAATTCAGATAGTCTATTTGATGAAGGGGCAAGCCTTAATGCCTCTATTAAAGGTAAAGAATCTTCATTACTGGCCATGGCAAGCCCGAATAAAATGGGGAAAAGAAACAGTCAACCTCTGAGGATCCCCATAAGGGGTAAAGGCTTGGTAATTAAACAAGGGAATACTTTGCCCGTGGCTCCTGGAGGCCGTTCGTGACTGACACAAAGCCAGCCTTTCATCCTTTCAGCATGGCTCTCACACATTAGGAATGGGATAGAAGAAGGGAATAAAGATGATACGGAAAAGGAATGAAGAGAACAAAAGGACCAAGCATAATTAGTTGAGGCAAGGGCTGAGGCCCAAGGTAGGGGTAATCCTCTACATTGGGTCTCAGTCCCCGTCTCCTTTTAGGGGGAACAAAGGCATGAGTATGTTGACTGGTTTGCCAAATGGCCACCAAAGGGTTAGCTAGTTAGCTAAATCTCATTCTCAATAATATCTATGAAGGCAGATATTCCAAGCATTAATTCTCTATTATAACTCTCTTGATGGTCCCACTGCATTATGGTAAGAGATTGTTGGAGATTCTTTGTGTCCGTTAGCCAGTGTTCACCCTTACATATATTAGCCCTTTGCCAATAACACTTGCTCATGCATACATGTCCTGATAAGAACCTGCACTACTTTATCAATGGTGAGAACAGTAATCTTGATCAATGACTGGCTGACCACAACCGATAATTTACCGACTTGGAAAATGCCAATTGCACAGTACACTTTATTTTACAACAACCAATACACCAAATCTTGGATGATCTAGCAAACTTGAAAGTGTGTTAGCAGAGAAGCTAACCAATGAAATGTGGATGATAGTGGTAAACTGCAAAATTAAAACACACAATAGCAGAGGGATGAGTGTGTATATATATATACAGTACATGTGTGAATGTGTGAATGTGAGTGTAAGTGTGAGTGTGAGTGTAAGTGTGACTCTGAGAGTGAGTGTTAATGTGACTGTGACTGTGACTGTGACTGTGAGTGTGAGTGTGAGTGTGAGTGTGAGTATGAGTGTGAGTGTGAGTGTGAGTGTGAGTGTGAGTGTGAGTGAGTGTGAGTGTGAGTGTGAATGTCAATGTGAATGTGAGTGTGACCATGAGCATACATAGGCATATGAGTGTGAGTGTGCATGTGTGTGAGTGTGAGTGTAACATTTTATATTCACTGCAGAATTTTCTCTGAGAGTTCTTTTTCTTGTCTGATCGCCAGGCATACAAAGGGTAGCCCTTTCAGGATGCTGCCAGCAAGGCTTATGACAACAAATATCCTTGCAGTATTGCAATTACTGTAATTTGAATAATACAGAAATTACTTCTTTGCATTTATGACCAGATAGTGATATTATTAAAAGCTTCAATTTTTTCTTTCATTGATTTATCACACAAAAGTGGAATGTTTTCCCAACCTGGAAATAACATTGCCTTGTCTATTTATGGAAACCCTGGAAATGTCTGAGGGATTTTCTGAGTACCCCACCACTTATTAGAATATATACAGATACATATTTGCCTTGAAAATGTCAGAACTTCCTATTGTTAAAAATAACTGTTAATAGCAACTTGGCACGAATTGATGACTTTGTCATTACAAACTATGACATGGTCTGTGGGATTAATTAGCTCTTTCTGCACATTTCAGCTGAAAAGCTAATGCTGGTCCAGAAGTGTGTCTAAATTTGGTCCTGAACATGCCCATTGCACATGCATGCTTAGAAACCTGGATTAAACTTTAATATGGTATCAAATTTTGTGGTATGTACAGAAGATACTACATATACATGTTACTTTGTCTGGACCAGGGTAAGAAGGGCCCAAATTCTCCAATCTTAGTCTGGCACAATGGAACCTTTTTTATTACTGACTATAAATGGCTTTGAACTTTCAGATATATTTACATGAAAATGGAAATAACAGTTTACTTTAGCATGGAGCATTGTATGTGAAATACACTAGGACAACATATCAAAAAAAGAAATACCTTGTGACCATCCAATGACATCAAAGAAAAATGAACAAAAATGTACATGAAAAACTTACGCATTTGAGGATAATATTGGACTCCTGGAAATCTTGGTGACCCTGGTACAGGGTACGACGCTGGCTGGAAGTTCGGGTTGTATGGCGAAGCGTTCTGATCCACATAGGACCCCGGTATGCTAGGCTGGGCTGGATTGTAAGAGGGCATCTGGACTGCTTGCTGACCTGGTACGGGTGGAGCAAAGCCCAACACTGGAGACTGACTTGGTCCAGTACCATAACCAGGCACTGGAGGCTGACCTGGCATTTGTGGTTGACTTAGTACTGGTGGCTGACCAGGCACAGGTGCTTGACCTATCAATGGTTGTTGACCTGGAAATGGAGGCTGACCAGGTAATGGAGCTTGTCCTGGTACTAATGGAGAATTCATCATTGGAGGCTGACCTGGCATTGGCTGTTGACCTGGTACAGGAGCAAGGTCAGGCCCTGGGTGCTGTCCTAGTGCTGGAGAATAATTTGGTAATGGGGGCTGTCCAGGAGGGGAATAAGCAGGCACTGGTGGCTGACCTGGAATGACAGGCTGACCTGACACTGGAGTTTGACCTGGCACAGGAAGCTGACCGGGAGCCAGAATGATGGGCTGGCTTGAATTTGCAGGTGGTCCTTGAACAAAGTTGCTAAAGTATTGCACTAGAGGTATAGAGCCAATCTTTACAGGAGCTGTGTGTTCTAGGTCCATGTGGCATCCAGAGGGGGACATTTCAAACTGAAAAACATAGAGGTCAATACAGTAATATGGAAAAGAAATAAAACACCAGCAATAAATCCCAATAAAAATTGCAATATATGAAACACTTCTTTTTTAATTAACAAATACCCTAGATTCATAGAAAAAAGATATAGTAGCCACACTGATATGATACACTGGAAATTCTTGACTCTTACTGGCATTTAAGAAAAATTATATAAAGACAGTAAATATACAACTTTTCATTAAAATATCTGATCTCATGGACTTATCATGTCAAATGCCAATTTCTTCTGCTTCCCCTATGTATGAGAATATTGTACCCATGGGATAACTCTTAATTAAAACTGCAGTGAGGCATCCATGCTCATTTGACTTGTAATTATAAATTACTGGTCTGAAATTCATTAGCTGTAGCATAATTTAGATAATCAGGTTATGCATTGTATAAGATGAAATAACATCACAGCTTGTACACAGGATATTATAGGAACCAAACAATATCACATCTATACAACACTGTAGTTTATTTTGGATGGGGGGGAAAAGGGGATATGGGGGGGAAATTATTTCACATGTAATTAAACCACAGTATCAAATAATCAGCAAAAATCCCATTGGTTTCTTTGTGTTCTGTTTTCTCACACAATGGTTATGTTTCGATAAAAGTATATATGATAAAAGTATATTTGTGATGAAAGTGTAATTATTTGTTTACGAGATTAAGCTCATACTTATTCACTGAGATCTTTATATCATACTTTTTAAAGAAAAAAAATTGGTCTCCTTCGAAGAAATTTCAAATTTATTTCATCTATTACATGCCATTCAATTTACAATATACCTAAACTTTTATATCATACCAATACCAATGATCATTCTTTATACTGAAATCAATAAGTATAAGACAGTGCTTTATAGAAAAATCCTAAGTCATGCAATTTTTGTAATAAAGTAATCAAATATTCTTCATACACCAATATTTTGTCTGATTTAGTTACTATGGTCCCAATTTGGTAAGGCATGTAATCTATAACATATACAGATTTATATCCAGTGGTTTCATGCAACATAAAATTACAATGGAAGAGTATTTCGTGGGGCTTCATATGAGCAAGTTGGGGTAAATTCAGCACGAGGGAAAAAGCTATATGAATTTTCAAAATCAGAATTTAGGGTTTTCAGGGAGAAAAATTAAGGGTCCAGAGACATAATTTGGACATGAAAAGCAAAATCCTCTTAAAATGTCATTTTTTACAATATATAAAACAAATGGTTCCTGTAACAAAGGAGGATACAGTATACCAAACGACATAATTGACACAGAAAGATACCGATATAAGTAACCGCATATCTGAGGTCTGAAGAACAGCAGTCATTACTGGATGAGCCCAAGTTTAACATCCCACTGGCTCACTGGCAAAGCTGGGAAACAAGTTTAGAAAAAATCATAGGTATAAATTTATCTGAAATGACAATTTTTCTCTGAATTTCACTGGAAAACTGAACTGCCTAATAAAACAAAATAATTCAACTTTTAACAAACTCATTCAAGACAAACCTATAATTCTTCCTTTTTTTCTTCTTCCTATAAAGAGAAAAAAAGAAAAAAAAAAGATACCCAACAATGTCCTTATTTTTCCCAATGTCCTAATAGCACCCTACCTTGAGTTCATAATCAATGTCAATCAGGTTGCAGAATTGTAGGTGTGAGGTAGGCAGCGCTGGAATCAACATCTCAACGTTGCTCCAGTTATCATCCTCTCCGGGCGGAATTTCCAAGCGCTTGAGCTCAGCAACCTTACGATGGTCTTTCTTCTTTCTCCCTTCAGCATGGTAGGTTATGGTCTACAAAATTGGGGAGCTTATCAGCCATAAGTAAAATTATTGGTAATCCGATGTTCAATGC